GTCCAAAATCCGTTGTTGTGCCACAAACTATAGATGCTGTGCATGAACTGATAAAGCAAGATTGTCATGTGACATACCGTGAGATAGAGGCGTCTTTGGACATCAGTATGACTAGCATCAATAAAATATTGCATGAATATTTGAGATTAAAAAAAATTTGTTCTCGTTGGATCCCGCATAATCTGACAAACGCTCAAAAAACGGCTCGTGTCGATTGGTGCAAGGAAATGTTGGAAAAATACGTTCAANATACGTTCAAGGTACATCAAAGGCTGTGTATAACATCTACACAGGTGACGAATCATGGATCCATGCATATGAGCCGGAAACAAAACAACAATCAACTGTATGGGTCTTCCAAGAGGAGGCAAAACCAACAAAAGTTGTTCGAGGAGGAAGCACTTCGAAACAAATGATTGCCTGTTTCTTCGGCATTAACGGTGGCAACAGTGGCGTTAGAGCAACTCAGGACGGTCAATTTTGAATGGTACTCGACCATTTGTTTGCCAGAAGTCATCGGAGAAATTCGAAAAAAAGCAGAAGAACAGGCGAATGATTTTTCATCATGACAATGCGAGCTCTCACATATATATATACTATTCCTTATTTTAAAAAAAAGTAACGGCAACAGTAGTTTCAGTACCTGTAGTTCGCTACATCATTGGCTACTTCCGAAAACAGAGAAATACATAAACCAATACTATCAGCAATACAATAATCAAGACACATTGATATATCTAATGCTTCTGGGAGTTATTTTAATTCTACTCTAAGAATTAGTTCTATATGTGACAAGGTTGCTCTGATTATGATCATTGTTTTAATTATATTATTAAAACCGATGGTGTCACTCATGATTTTGTCGGTGTTTTGAAAAACTAAAATCTTCTTTAACTATTGGTGTTGATCTTGTACCTTCTTTTATCATAAAAGTGTGTTCAAACTCGTTTATTTACCTTCTTCTCATTTTGTTTAAATGATCACTTAGATCAAACTGCTATCCTAGCGCTTTGAAACAAACTGAAATCATTCAAGTTCATGAAATCTTTAGTTCAAACTATTATAGAAACTTGTTGTATAAATAGTAAAATCGAGTTTGCTTTTGACAATAAATCAAATCTTGATGTAGTTCACTAGGACTTTTTTAAAGGTTTTGATTCTTTTAATTTTTGTATTTTGTTAAATAAATTGATTTTACTTGGTTTTTGTAAAAATCTCTTTGACAAGTTGTTTTCTTATTTATATAATGGATTTTTATATGAATAATTCAGAAATGCTGATTCTCGTAAGATCATTAATTGTTCTGGAGTACCTCATCAAGGCTCATTTCTAGAACCTTTGCCTTTTATTTTCAGAAAAATTATCTCTGTTACGTCTGTTGCAGATGATATAAAAATTTTAAAGCTTATAAATATAAATTTGGATGCAATTATCCTAAGACCTAGATAGCTTATATCATTTTTGCAATAGTAACCAATTAGATCTTATTATTTAAAAATGTGTCATTGTAATATCATAATCTATTATACAATTAACATTATTACTTTAACTAGTTCGAAATATTATTAAAGAATTTGGAGTTACTTTTCAATATAATCTTGGGTTTTCTTACCAAATCAATAATTTAAATTCCAAAACTTATCGTTTACAAGGTTTTATAAAATGTGAAACTAAGGACCTCACAAATAAATAAACCTGAAAAATTCTTTATTACCCATTGGCAAAATGGGTCTTGGTTTGAATTTGATGGCGTACTCAAACATTTCAACTACAACAATCAAGAATAATAGTAAACAGTGCGCATGCGCTGCTATGGCGACTACTGCTGTTTGATAATATTTTTAGAATTCTTTTTTTCAGTTTTAATTATGAAATGGATTAAGTAGGTGAGTTTATTTTTGAGATATGGGACCAGAGAGTTCCCATAAGCACTTCTTGAGTTGTGAATAAATGAGAATTTCATCATTTGAACGATATTTTTTTCATTGTTTTAATTAAGAATCGAAAATTCAAACCTACAGTTAAAACTGTATCGTTTTCAATATTTATTCAGGTTAATATCACAAATAAAGAGGGTCCAAACTGATTGACACGGTTCCAAAGGTTAGATTTGTAGCAAGAAAAAAACTATGCCACAGTCTAAACTTACCGAGGCTGAAAATTCCAAAGCCAAAGAACGTAGACGGGAATACCTTATATATATTCTAGTAAAACTATAAAAAAATATTGTATCGAAGGAGTTTAAATTAGTTTTCAACATTTTCTATATTATAAAGAAAATTACCACTATCCCCATGAACTTATTGCTTCTGCATTGCAAAATATTTTTGTTGGTCTACCATTTGAATGTCATTGAGGTTTGTCTTGTTTATTATTTTTCCATAAAATTCTAAAGAATCTATATATATATTTCTCTTACACGGCACCAAAAAAAAGCCTCATTACAACTCCCCGAATGGCAACGTTAGAAAATCAACCAATGATTGCTGCTAAAAATGTCACATGGCAAATGTCACATGAGGTGGCTCAACATACAGCGCTTTTAAAACGGAAACAATAACCAGAGTGAGCATTATCAGGTTGTTTAATTCAGATTCATGCCCTAAAAACATGATAATATTTAATTATTGAAACGCAGTGCTATAAGCGAAAGCAGAGAGCACGCCGCACGTACTATACTCAATACTTAATTTAAACTCAATTAGGAATTAATTAGGCTGGCCTTCTCCATGACTATAAATAAGTCACAAGATCAGACTTTTGAGAAAATCAGTTTAGTATTGACTACAACAAGACAAGTTTTTAGTCATGGACTACTTTATGTTGACCTGTCAAGAGTTAAGTCATTTGACAGCCTTTCAGTAATTGCTCCAAGATGCCAAATCTATAATTGTGTTTTCAAAGAAATTCTAAATGCTTAGTGTTAATTTCTTAGAGCTTTGCAGAAAAAAAATGTTTTTTGGAAAAAATTTAATTGAAACTTCTATTTGCAGTAAGCAAGGGGAACTGCCAAAATCAAAACTCCCCGATTAGAAATGCAGCATGGCGACCTCCACGTGGTACTTCTCGGGTAATACTAACAGCCATTCATTTTAATTTATTGTATGTAAAACATCCTTATTTTGTTCTAAAATGTTATCTACTTTATCACAAATGTTAATTAATATAGAAATTGATTTCAATAATGCTGATCACCAAAAAATATTTCATTTGGCGATTAAAAAAAATTTTGCGTTCTTGAAAATGGAAGACTTTTTGAGGGTTATTATCTCACAAGGAAAAGTTAGGGTTTAAAGTTCATATTTTTAAATAATAAAATTTTTTTCTAAAACTTTCAGAATTTCTAGCATTAACTAATTTATTACACACACTTAGTTGAATTTAGTTGAGTAACTGCAATATTTGATATTTTATTTTGCTAATATGTTTCTCATTTAGCTAATGTTTTGATTTTTTCACCATGTACAATCCAAATAGCTAATATACTTTTTTAAAAGCCAGTAAGAACATTGATAGAATTCTTCTACATAAGTACAATACTATGTCTTTGATGATAAAATACTATGTCTTTCATGATAATATACTATGTCTTTGTGTTAGAACATTGTGTTCATTGGCGAGCGAGCGCAGCGAGCCATGGTTCACGGCATGAACCACATAGGATTGCGTAGCAATTCTCGGGGGTTGGCGAGCGTTAGCGAGTAGGGGGCGGAGCCTCCTAGTATGATTTATTGCTCTAATATTTTATATATGATTCCATTTTCAGAAAAAGTCACAATATACGAAACCTTATTTTTCCATAAAATTCTAAAGAATATGATTTATTGCTCTAATATTTTATATATGATTCCATTTTCAGAAAAAGTCACAATATACGAAATGAAAAATTTTTTTATAAGCTCATTTTGTAAATATATTCACTAAACGAAGTTTCTGCATTCAGAATTTTTGTTTTTAACAAACATGTTCAGGATCTTTATTTAAGTCCTTTATTAGTGCAATGATGGTCTTTTTCTTCCATTGTATGCACCACTGTAAATGATTTTTTATTAATAGTATTTGTTTTGACTTTTAATACAAAATAAAAATTAAAAGGAAAGATGAATAACAACAAGCATGCAGTATAAGATATTTATTACGCCAGGACCTTCAATTACAGTTCAGCAATTTTTTTAATGAAGTAACTAATTACATTATTCAATCTTTTTTACTATTTTGATTTACATTTGTTATGTAAAGAAAGAAACTTTTCTTTTTATCTGTCTTTCATTCCATCAGATCAAATCACTGAAAAGAAAAATTGGTTGTTAATATAAAAATACAAGTATTTTTTTAAAATTATTTCATTTTTTTAATTAAAACTAATTACTTCAGATTAAACTCAAATCTTTTAAATTGTAATAAAAATGTTAAAAATGAAAACCTTATTTCTAAGACATTTTAATTTCGAGCATTAGTCAATACATAGTATGTATTTTTAACTGAAAATCTTGTTCATAAGATATTAAAAGCAGTCAACTCTTTTTTTCCTTATTGATGAAATAATTATTGATCGAAAAATATTTCAAAACTGAGACATCTTAATTCAATAGGTTTGTAATCGCTTAAATGATCAAAAACTATTGCGCCATTTGGAAACCATTGCATTTAAATTAACTTAATTCAAAACAGCTTGTACTCAATGTCTATAAAAAAAATTACATTCTGCTTGGAAAATCAGATATTCATTTACAATAGGATGCCTTCAAGTGACGTAGCGTGTGTATATCTATCCAGATTATTTGTTGATTGTTTGTTGAATTGCGAGGTTCTCAAAACAAAAATATATCGTAGTTACAATAAAATACACAAACAAATAATAAATCTAAGTTAAGTAAAATTCGCACATGAGAAAAGAATTATATTTCAACAAATTCGATACCGCACTGTATTTAATTAACTTCATATTAATTAACATTCTAACTTGTGTAATGAATATAAATTTAACATACAGATATTTCATCTGAAATGTGTTTATGTGACGCAGAGAACATTATTTTATATTTTTTGCTATCAGCTGTTGACAATTGTTACGAAAACTAGTTTATTTCTGAATAAAACACTGTAAACTTGCCCATTTCTATATTTTCTCCATTTTTTAAATAGATTTCTTAAAGCTTTTAGTTCTGTCTGTATAGATTCATATCTTGGCAATTGTCATACAGAGGTCTTGGAAGAAGTTGGTCTCGACAAACAGTTAATGCTATTAAACAATTAATTTTGAGCACGTAAAAATAAAGATGATGAATCCCCAAAATTTCAATTAAGCTGAATTGTTTTAAAATTTTTTCGACATGGCTTGTTAAGTTATTCCTAAGAGTTGATTTTAAAAGTCACAGTTTTAGTGTTGCACTTTTTTTCAACAGTTTAGACGTAGATAAAGTTTAATCTTTAACATTAGCTAAAAATCTCGAAATATATTCCGTTTCCTAATTTATTTGTTTTAAAAAAAAATCAATTCTTTCCAGAATACAATTTTTCTAAACCAACTTATTTGTTTCACTTACCTCTTGCAATAATATGGAAACGCCATGCAAGAGCTCATGATTGCCTTGAGACAAGTCTAGAAAGAAGGAAAAAAGTTTTATAACATTTCGCATAAGTTAAATGTGAATACTTAACAGAAATATATCCATCAAATTTCCAAATAAGGTAATCTCTTTTCAATAGTGCTGTTTTTCTAAAAAGGCGCTCTAAAATAGAGGTTCTGCGCAGCACACAAAAGCGTTACAAAGGTTTCAAGTTCCTGTTTGTGATGCTGAAACCAGGCAGTCGATGTCTAGTTATGTAAAACTATATAAAGCTATACACAGGTGGTACTAATGTTTGAAATTCGAAATAAATGGTAGTACTTTATTTACGTTGTACTAGAGCTTCAGAATGGGCTATTGTCAATGGTCAGGGAAGCACGACTGAGGATGATCCGAGGACATGTCATCGCAGTTGTGTTTCTCTGCAGAAGGGATGGGTACCCCAATTAGGTTAATCAACGACCCTCAACGCAAATATGATCACTTCAAGGTAGAATACTTTAACGAGGAACGATACCAAACCTCCTCTGTTCTTCCGCAGGCTGATCTAAGTGATTACTCTCTACTCATCGATGGCTGCCAGTGTTGTTGAAACCCTGTCTTATGATCTGTCTGTGTCTGTCTATGTGAGACAAGCTCGTTAAGAGACTTCCAAGTCATTACTTTAATGGTTAAATTTATGAAAAAAAACATGCCATAAAATACTGTTATTTAACTAGAGTGTTTACGATATGACCGGATTATTTATTCTTTAAAATTTGAAATTCATTTAAATTAAACTGCAAATATAAAAGAGTACATCATTAAAAAAATGACGATCTTTACCTTTTATTTATGTCAAGTTGTCAATCACCTTATCGATTAATAGAACTACCTTTTAGAATTTTTTAAGTATAGGAAAATCTTATGAATCGCAAACAAATTCAATCCATGCAAATTTTTGCATTAATTATTTGATAAGTAAATTGTAGATTTTTTTTTATATTCGTTCATAAATACTAATAACAAATAAATAATTATTAATAAATAATTTTTAAAAAATATTTTTGAATGGTATTATTTCTTTGGATAGATGAATTTTAGAATTATGTGCAAAAATGCTTTGAATTTGTTTAAAGTGTTTTTGAAATGTGGCGAAATACGAAAAAAGTAAAACTGTAACATTAAGGGGTTCACACTTTGGATCACCCTCCAAAGCAAAATATTGGAACCATATTTCCCAGTTTGCTGTAACCTCCTACCTCCTGCGGTAACCATATTTCGGGGATCAGATGACCGATTCAGTCGAAAAAACGAACGTTTATTCATAGAAAGAAAAGTAGAAATATTTTTAACAGAAATATAGAACGAAATCGCTACTTTTATAGAATTTTCAAAAATTCATACAAAAAAAGTTTAAATTATTTTTCTTCAATTTCAAATTAATTCTATTAGATTCGTTTTAACACAATTGATAAGCAGAGATTGGCTCTTTTGAACATTTTACTGCTGCAAAAGTTATTGAATGACTGACTATTTCAGCAATGAAAGGCCAATCTTCTCGTATGGTAAAGCATTATCTATTATCTAAGAATCAGTAGTAATATACGGAGCAAATACCTGTGGTTTTGAAAGAAATTTATCAGATCAAAAGGTTCGAAAGAAGTTTTAGAACGGTGAAAAATGTGCATTGAAATTTTGAATAAATCGGAAATAAAATAACAATAATAATAGTTGAAAATAATTTATTATTAATAATAATTTATTTAATGTTACTTAAACATAAATTTTTGGCCCAATATGAATTTTTTTAGAATTCAATTCTTAAGTATAAAAGCTATGTATTTAATTAAAATAAAATATGCATTACAAATTTACTAGAACAGTGTTATATTTTCATTTGCTTTGTTTAAATTTCTTCTATTCTTTTTTGAATTATCATATGCAAAAGTATCAGTTAACATCATTATCATTAAATTTATCATTAAATATCAAAACTCATATCATTAAATTTAAAAAATACATACATATGCTATATTTTTTATTATCAGTCAGTTCAATGCCCCATATTAATATCGCATATTGGAAAATAGTCATTATGTAAAATTTTAAAATGTAAAATTTTAACGGAGAACAAAATTTTAAACGATAAAAAATTTTTAATTCAGAAAATTTCAAGGATTTTTATTTTAATTTGAATGCAATTTTTCATTTATTCACTTATTTTCTTATCGAGTTTCTCCAACAAGTAAATTTATTAATGGACTATATTTTCCGACAGTAAAAACAAAATTTGTCAATATTTCGAATTTCTAAGGAAAATGAACATAAATTAAATTTTTTTATATGCATACATTATATTTTAATTTCTTTGCTATTTCAACAAATGTCGTAATAATTTTGTGCGTCTTAAAATTTTATACATTTAATTTAAAATTTACGTCGTTTTAAAATAAAAAAATACATTTTTTGTTCCTACATTGTCAGTGAAATTTAAGGCTAGCTTGAATTTTTGATTTTCTCGAATTGTACTTTGAAATTGTTTCCTTCCTTTCCTTTTTTCGCACTTTTTCATTAACTTTTTAATTGTTACTTTTTAAAACCAATTTATTTTTTATTTTTTACGCGTTGCTTTTCAAAATTTAAAGTTTTTACTTTTTACTTGATACTTTTTATAAAAGCGCTTGTACTCCTAATCGTTACATTTTAAATTTAAAGTTTTCACATATTTTCTTGAGTGTCTTATATTTTTTCAAAAACCAGTATGAAATCAATTTTTCTTTTCCAAATGAACACAGTTAAGTTCTTCTTTACGATGTTTAGAAACATGCTATGCCATAGTATTTTATAAAGATCAATGCGCGAGAATAATATAAATTTAAACTTACCAAATATTTTTCCATGCCAGCAAATTCCTCCTTACGGCTAGGAGAATTTTGTTCTCTTTCAAGTTTGTTCTGTAAATTATTTATGATGACACATTTTTTTTATTTTATTTTTAAAGACATATTTTTATTTATTTAAAAGGAAAATACTTACATTATAATCCAGAATTGTGCTAACAGTTTTCAAAAGGCATTTTTTCTACACCATAGAAAAATAAAAAGAAATAAAAACATGAAAACTGTACTTAATTAACAGTTTATTGGTTATCTATGAGCAAAAATTTTATGAGCACGGTAAAAAATACCAAATGATGGTCCAATGTTGTTTTGTTGACTAAAGGTTCTTTACTTTCTCACACCTTACTTATAAACGAATTTTGGTCGAATTGCGTAATTATAGTAATTTTTAAAAAAAATTCATCCAGAAAAAATATATCTTATTTTCTTATAAGTATATATTATATAACTATAAATAAATATCTTATATTTCTGAAAATATATTTTATAATCTAATTTTAAAAATAAATATGTCTTATAAATTTTTTGTAAAACTAAAAGTTAAAGGTAGGTGACTGAAAATTTGTGACACGGTCAAGGCGGCATTTTTATTTCTTTCCTTTTTATTTGTACAGAATAAAAATTTGTGTTAATCAATGCTCTTGATACTATTTTTTAAAACATAAATGTTTTTGTATAAAAAAAATTAACAATACCTATTGGCACGTATAATTGAATATTTAAAATCTTATAATTGAATCTTATAAGGTAGAAAATCTTATAGTTGAAAAAGTAAGAGAAAAATTTGATAAATGTTCTGAAATTTTTTTTTACCGTCGAGTCTTTGTTGTTGCAGACCAAGGGCACCAATATATCAGCAGATAAAGAACCATTTTTCCATTCCGGGAAAACGTATCCATCTTTAAATTCACACTCCGCATTCCACAATACTCTATAAGTGTTCCAAGTCTGGAATATTTTTTATGAAGAAGATAGTTAAAAAGAAATTGTTAAATCAGCAAGAAAATTTTTTAACTGAAAACACTTTTAAGGATAACTATCAATCAGCATTTAGTGAGGGCGATATTCGTTTGTGACATTTTGAACGTAATAACTTACTCCAACAATCAAACAGGTTTCCATACTCTGCTTCACCTTCATATTTACTTTTTGATTTTCCTTTTTCTCTTTTTTTATTTAACTATTAATTCACCGTCACCCCATGTGAATATTTTTTTAAAAATATAAATTGTGTATCGGCGGAACAACATTTATGATTTAATTAAAAGTCAAATATATGATATACTTACATCTCTATGCCAATAGTCAAAACACGTTAATTCTTCTGCAGTTAATTCTATAAGAGTAAATGCAATTTATTAAAATATATTGTTTATAAAAAGTGAATTTCAGCTACTACCTGTAAAAATGAATCATACTTACACTTATGTTAAATAAGAGAAGCTTTTTCGGCACTCTTTTTAAAATAAGTAGATTTAATACACAAGAGTGTTATTAAAATTCCGTTCC